CCTCTTTCAATCTGTAATTTGCTACGCTCATGTAGTATGGGGTACGACCACTATGCGAAATGTCAATAAGCTGCGACTGTTGCAGAAAAAGGCGCTTAGAGCTATCGAAAATGTTCCTCGAGATTATCATACCCTTCCCCTGTTTTTGAAACATCAGGGCCCGTTTGCTCGAACAGCTAACCGCGGCTAAAGTTAGCCGCAGTACCTAGGAGAGGGATTTTTTAGTCACGTGACTGGCTCGGTAGGGATACGGGGAGCTACGCATTGCCCCGTCGCGTCGTTCGACAAAATGGCTGCGGCGTACGCAGTTTCCGCGGTCGCGATCGCATTGGTGTTTGTCTTCAGAGCGATGATTTAGGTTCCGTGTTCTAAGTTAAGAGTGTACAAGTATCCTACGTGCGCCTTAAAGAAACTGACATTTCGAGGGGACTGCGACTGAAGTCGACGGCAGCAGCCCGTCGACAAACATTGGCTCAGAGTCACCGATTTGTAGAAGTACAGTGGCCCGGAGTCGCCGACTGTCGAAGCTTCGCATCGGCTTCATTGAAGCACGGCAAGAATCATGCATCGCAGCGCCGAAATGTGGGATGCGTTCCAAGGAACACGATAGCCGAGTACGACAAGCGTTTTACGGTGAGCACCAAAACATTTCGCGATAGGGTTGTGATGAGGCCAGCCTCATACTCACGTTATGTTGAGCGCTGTGAAACTAACTTCAAGCAGGAGCAGGATCAGAATACGTTTATTGAAAGGAAGCATTACGGAGAGTTGCCTTTTGAGTAGCGATTGCGGTTTATTGAAAGTAGTCACGCCGGGAAAATTTCTGTTCAGGGTGTCCATTTTGTACAAAATCCTCGTATTCTGCTTACAGTGCGACTGCAGCTGCAGCATCAACCGTTCTGCAGATAAACGGCGGACAGAGGCTCAACGGTCCAATGGATTTTAGCAGTGATGAGTAGCAGAACTTTCTCTGGGTTTAGTGAAATGCTACGTTGTCCATAAAAGACCAGTGACCTGCCGATCGTTCAATTCACTCGCCCTCCAAGAAAGCCGGTACATGCAGTTTTTCCGAATCAACTCCGTTGTGCCGTCTGCGAAAGTTGTAGAACCGAGAAATAAACAATACTGAAGTTGTTGGAAATGCACTTGTTTGTTATTTCGCGTTGCTTCTGAAAAAATATTTTACGGTTAGCAGGAATAATGTTGCAATTGTGTAGATAAACAAACCAAGGTAGCAGACGATCATGCTCCTTCTGCAAACGAAAATGAACCGAGCGACTACCTCAAAGGGGACCGCGCCGCTGCGTCAAAAGAATTGGACCCTAGATGAAAAATTGGAATTAGTCCGGGAAGTTGAGGCTCGAAAATACCAAATCCTGGGAAAATTCGGCCCTACCGTGACTACTAAAACCAAAAGACGCGCCTGGGACCAAGTCGCCAATTCCATGACCCGCCGCCACCAAGTTCCGCGTTCAGTGAAACAGCTTCAAGAAGCATGGAGAAAATTACTTAAAAAGTGCCGAACTTTGTACAGATTGTACAAAGAACATGACCAACGGACAGGTAAGTTCCAATATTTGCGCTACAAAAACAGAAAAAAGGGCGATATTTGTAAAATCTTTATTGGAAACTTTGGGTGCACTGTACAAATTTATTAGAGAGTGATATATTAGCCCCTCAAATTTTTGGGGCAAATATCTCAACCGAAGACCCCATTCAATGCGCGACAACTAACATCTCGCTCAATATCATGAGAGGGCAAGCCCAAAGATTAATTAGCTCTTACTCGCACAAGTTTCAACACAGTGGCACTAACACAGAAATAGCCCCAAAGCACCTTGGATCCTGTTCCATGCAGTGGGCCTGCGTAATTTCTCAAAATTAATGTCCAAATTTTGCTTGCCAAAAACATTGTCTTTAGCACTGTAAACAATGTAGACACTATTGTTCAACTAAACACAGAAGAAAAATGTATGTAGGCAAGTAGCGTGGGAACAAGGGCAGGGGGGCTTCAGACCCCCTTCCCCTTCCCCCCCCCCCCCCCCCTTGAAATTTCAGACAGCTGCGGTAAACAATGCTGCAAAAGGGGGCGGGGTTAAGCTCAGAGGCTCCGTCGCCCCTCCACGTTTCAAACACTTCCGACGCAACCGATTCAGGCACAGAGTGGGCCAGGCTAGCCGGTAGCTGGCAACAGTGAGTTTGCTGTCAAACAAAAAAAAAAAGAAATAAATTGTCCAACATCACATATTACCCGAGACCGGATAATAGGAACCTGAGGGTGAAAAAAAAAACGAAGGTAAGAAAACAATCTTATCATTATTGGCAATTACATGTTTACGCGTTTTCTGTTCATTCGCACATTGATACTATGTTGAATAATGAACACCCTGTCTCCCCTCCCCCACCTTTAATTGTGCTTACATCCTAGAAAACAAAATAAGTGTACTTCAATTCATAGGTGCTGGTCCCAACCCCCATCAGCTGACACCACTTGTCGAGACTGTTTTAAATGTGATCGGGGACGATTCCCCGACGATCTGTGGGATTGACGTCATCATCGGTGACACCGAAAAGTAGGTAACACTTTATAGGCCATGCTGTGTATGCTATGCTCCTGTTGATACTTTATACATTACAATACTAAAGTTGTAGGTATGAGCACGTGGCTTCGTCAATCACCTTACTTGTGCTAATTGAATGGCCCACCCTTACGCCTACAAGTTTGATATCGTTGCACACTGTATGTAGACTGTGACAATGGAGGCGATAGTACAGTGGAAGCTCTGCACCCAGTTACAGCTTACTAGCCCTGACAGCACAAGGATGCACAAGCAGCAGAAGAGAATGAGCACGCGCTGAAGGTGCATTCTTTTTCTGTTCTGCTCGTCACATTATGAGTACTTCCACAAGATGATAGTTATGAAACTGATGATAGGGATGTTCTGCTGTCACTGATGATAGGTATGAAACTGAGCAGAGACACAAGGCATATCAAAAGTCACCAATTGTTGGCATGCTCCTAGAAAACATTGATGAGCATAGGGAACAGTTTGGATTGTCATAAAAGAATATATTGGTTTTCCATCTCAAAGTAGACATGTCAGTTGCATAACACTACTGCTGCGTGCCCTTACATAGAGACCAACTTCATGAAGCAAAACGACAATATTAGGAGCACGAGTCAAAACCTGTCCAGTAGAGAACAGAACACAGCACAAGGACACCACCTTCACATATTTAGCCATTTCTGCACTGCTGAAAAAGTGCCAATGAAACCATTTATTAGGGTAAATGCAGTAAAACTCACAGTTTGAAACTATTTGTACCACAAAATTACAAAGAAATATTTACATCATAATCAACAAAGCTATGGTAGTCTTTCTCTCAAGTTGAGATCACCTATTTTCTTCAAAGTCAGGTCACTCAATACCCAAATTTTTCCACTGTCAGTGGAAATGTTTTTGCATGATCTTCGTACATGCCTGCTAACGTAGCAAAAATCCATTCTTTTTTGGTAACGCTTATGAGATTAAGTTGAGAATGCACCAATGACTTATTCGATGCTGATCTGTGCCAACAAAATCTGAAAAAGTATCAATGTCCCAGTTAGCCGGACAGTGCTTGGGTACACAATAATCACATATGACGGCTGGTGTGAGTGTGCCACATCTACTTGTTTTAAATCTTGTACAAATGTCTATGTGGCGACTCTACCAACCGCCAATGAAACAAAGTTGCGGGGTTAGGCACTCCAGTCTGTTGTACCACCAACATATGTCGTAAAATTATGACAAGTGTTACTGTCACATCTGGATTAAGGTTGCCGCACGTTGCACTCAGTTCTCCCACACATATATGTACCCTGATCCAGGGTGACGTCAAAAATGTCATGCACTGCAGCCCTCATGCATCACTTGGAGAGATAGAGGACGGAGAGAATCATGTCACGGAGGACGTACGTGCACGAGTATGGTGTCTAGTCACAATCCTTTGCTTCAATGCTCTGAGCAGCTCTCTGGAGCTGTAGCCCTTGCAGTTTGCTAAGTTATGCTGAAATTTACAAGTTCACTCCTGCCCAACAATAGCCCTCTGTGAGCTGCCATTTTTCTCACTGCGCATGCTCGGAACACGTCCCGAGCATTAACTTTATGCAGGACAATATTGTACCTCGGGCTGCCATCCACAGCCAGTCAGTGACCTGGGTTTTTAAGTTTGCTGATAATCGTTGTAAAGGCTTATGCGTTAAAGGGATACCTCAACGAAATTTAAAATATACCCGTCGTGTTCAAAAATAGGTTGAATATGATCCACTGTATCCCTAAATGACAATCGCACGTTTGTATTTTGAACCTGGTGGCTATAGTTTTCGTTACAAACGGCCCACCCTGACAAGCGCTCGGAGAACAGCCAGCGGAGAGCATGTGACACCCAACGCAATCGTGACGTAGTTCGTCTCGGGACGAGCAAAGCTGCGACGAGGCTGACGTCGAGAGGATGGCCTAGTCGTTCCAGCCACCAAAGCGGCTGCTTTTGTACGAATTTTGAGTGAAGGGTTAATCTTTTATAATCTTGTAGGGGGACAATAGCAACTTCTGGGACATACAAAAAGGATTCTTTGGAAGAGGAGAGTTCCTCCTTCCCCTCTTCTATTGTGGTAGCCGGAGGCGAGACAGTTACCGTCACTAGCTGTCAAGGTTCTTAGACTGGCATTACAAACGAGGCGTTAGCGACATCCACCTGGTGCTCTTTGCCAATCGCTTAATTCGTTTTAAAATTCCTTTTCGTGACTTTTTTAACAAGATATTGTTGTGTTCGATGTGATACTGCTCCTTCGAACACATATAGACCAAAAAATGAAACCCGAAATTTTGTTGTAGTATCCCTTTAACCTCAAACAATTTCCTGGTCATGCGTGTCACTACAGCAGCTGCACGGGAAGGGTGACGACGCCGCCACCCTCGTCATCTGGCAGCAGTACAGTTGAAGACGACGAAGCACAGAGAACACTGGCCTCTCCTGTTGTGCAGCACAACCAGCGCTGGACCCGTGAGGCTGCACAGCAGTACCAGAGAAGGGCCGAGCGACAGCAGGATCTGGAGCATGAGAATATACTCCTTGAGAGAAAGTACACAAATGGGGCCATACAGGCTGCAAACGCAACCCTCGCTGCAGCAGATGCTGCACGGAGTTTCTATGCTATAGGGGAGGAAGTGCTCAGGGAGCAAAGAGAACTCATTAGACTTGAAACCACCCGAGCACAGCTGCAAATTGAACTGATAAAAAGACAATTAGGACAAGATTAACTCATGTAATGAGCTACTTGCATTGTTTGTCGCTGTGTTGTATACATATTTTGCGTTTTTTCTGACCTACATACTTGGTTGCACGATTATAACGCTCACATTTTTTTTGCCAAAATGGGTGCCTAAAATTAGATGCACTTACAATTGAAACCAAAACTCAAAAGAAAAACGCAAGGCAGCTAGCCCAATCGCCTTTGTGACCGTTTGTTTACATTAGATATTTTGGTATCCGTATCGCGCGTTCTTTCGCCTTTATGTCATCACACTGACGGGAAACGATAACCACGGAGCGACACTGCGTAGCCTCGCAATCCCAGCGACCCAATGAGCTCGCGAAGTGTTGTATGAAAAAAAAAAGTGAAGGCCGTTTACAACTCTGTAACGCCGAATTAGAGCGCAGCTCTTGAGGAGGAGTAGGGAAGGGTACTGAGGGGGAGGGGGGTCACGTGACCTCGGCGGGGGGGGGGGGGTCACGTGACCCCCAGGTCACATGACCCCGCAGAGAAATTTTTCCGCTAGGTTTAGCGGACAAATTTTTCCGCTAGATTTAGCGGGGAATTTTTTCCGCTAGATTTAGCGGGGAAATTTTTCCGCTAGATTTAGCGGGGAAATTTTTTCACTAGATTTAGCGGAGAAATTTTTCCGCTAGATTTAGCAGAGAAATTTACCCATCATGCACCGGCGGTTACGACGACGGCGACGGCGACGCCGCTCAAGCCGGAAACGAGCGCCTAAGAGCTGCACTTATGGGTGTTCAAAGTGCATTACTTTACCTGCGCGGTAGAATCGGCAGCAATTAAATTTTTCGATATCTGGGAGCTAAAATTGCCTGCATGTAAGTATCGGGGCCACGTTAGAATCGTGCAAACATGGTATGTTTGACACTTCATTTATTTTATGCATGCTATCTACAAGGGAAGCTTGCACACAATCTTTTCCATGTCGTTGACTATCCCTACACTAGACCAGCGTGGTTGTTCTGATCGCAATATTTTACGCTGTGGTTAAGTAAGCAACAGAATATCATACTGGCAGTATGGCACCCAGGCTTTCGACGCCCCAAAGGTGGCACATAATTTACATGGATACCTAAAATAAAAATATGGGTTAAGCTCAAAGGCAGATGTATAATTCCTTCTTTCCTATATCCCTTCACATGTTTCCCTTTCATAACGCGGCTCCCCGTCACAGCTCAAGAGAGGAGGTCGCCAAGACGATTAGCCTCCCGGCAGAAGACCAAGGTCGAGTTTCTGTGTTTTAAGAAAATGTTCGAGTCATCGATGAGTGGACCACAGACACTTTCTGACTTGCATCTGCAAATATTCCTTCTGCTTTTAAGATAAAGGCTTTTTCTGCCTGGATATGCTCCTGCGACCTATGGACTGTGTGCTGCTTATGTACGAAAAAGTTCATACTAAGAATATCCCGAAACTCAGGAACAGAAAAAGGGATCAAACACAACACTACATCATTTTGTTGCGTGTGTCACCTTTTGGGGCCCCGGGTCTTCAACTCTTATTACTTTGAATCGTCACCACTTACCTTGTTCTTTAAGTATTTATTTATTTATTTATTTATTTTATTTAAAGAGTACCTTCATCGCCTCGAGGGCATTATTGTAGGAGGGGTGGGAAATAACACACATACATAAAAACACAAAGTGATCACTTGTCCGCACGGAATAGATATACAACCGAGAAAAAAATACACTGTTATCCAACACAACAGTTTTTTGGAGCTGAAATCTACTTGCTGCTTGTACGTAGGCTCGCGATAATTCGAACTCGGATATTTCGTACTTCCAGTTATTTCAAACAGGTTTAAAAATTTTGGTTGTCCCGCTAAGCTTTTTTATGTATTTATAAGCCACTTAATTCGAATGGCGTTTTCGCTTAATTCATAGTTTTTTGCTCTCGCGGCCCTGTTGAGTGCGCTTCTTTCCGAGCACCGCTGCACCGCAGAGAAGCAATACCTGCGGAGCTTGCTTTTGCGAGTGTTGCTTCTCCGCAGTGCACCAGTGCTCGGAAAGAAGCGCAGTCAACGGGGCCGCGAGAACAAAAAACTATGAATTAGCGAAAACGGCACACATGAACGGAAAACGGCGTTCAAATTATGTGCTTCAAGACGACAACGAGGACGAGGCACAGCTCACTGGCATCATGATTTCTGGCCTTGAAACACGTAATGTGAACGCCGTGCAGGCGAACTATATTAGTCTTGACGACGATGTGTGTGTGTGTCATGATGACTCATTAGAGGACATAGTACGGAAAGTAATGCCAGCACAGTGCAGCAGTGACAGTGAAGATGACGATGAAGAAATGGATGACCCACTACGAACTGTCACAGCCGCAGAGGCCTTTGAGCACACCGCTCAGCTCCGGAAGTTTCTGTCTGCAAAGGAAAAGTCCCGTAAAGAGCTGCTTGCGTTGGCTGGCATTGGAAATTTTGTTTTGAGATCTCGTGTGCTGACTAAACAGTCCACAATTGACGACTTTTTTGCCGGATGAATAAACTTAGTCACAGTTCTTTCACAAATGTGTTATGCCTGTACTTGCTTATAGTTATGCATTAACTATAAGCAAGCTATTGTGCTATGTAGAGGAAACTGGCCAAAATCTGCTTTGTATATATCGCTATCCATGTAACAAATCATAATGTTCTCTAGTATCATATATATCCAACTAAAATATGTGACTTTCTGGAGTTTGAATTAATGAGAGTGTAGTATGTACAATAAAGCTCCTCTCTGGACAATGCCCTACTAAAAATAAATGTTTTGCAAATGATGTTATCATGCCAGCCAGGATGAAGAAAATATGAACTAACCCTAGGAGGTTTGTGAAAAATAAGAGAAAAGCTTTGCGGGTTGGAAAAACCTGTGAAAGGTGTTATGACTCAACACTCAGAAGCGTACACTATGTAAATCCTATGAGCTAGTAACCATGAGTATGCAGTGAAAAATGAACATTCTATGGGGTAGTATATATAATTTGTACTGATAGCTTTGAAATTGGTATCAAATGAACATTGTTTCACTATACTCTCCTATTCATGCTCCTGTACCCATTAAATAGTATCGGTTTGTAGATATTGGATGGGAAAATAACTGTCTTCTTCAGTTGCCTCATTATAAACTGTGCACACATAGTCTGTTATAGGGCTGACTTCAGCACTTCCCATAAAGCATCCGTCGGTGTGGGAAATGTATTACAAAAAATAATGACAGTATAAAAAGAGAGCTCCAGAGAGTGCGAAGAAGTGCACAAATTTGAAGAAGCATCCCTCGTGTCATTAGTTAGAAGTTTGAAAAGTGCATTGTTATGAACTCCGGAAATCAAATTCAAAATCTATTAGTTTAAGAGAGCCCGTGTGTGCCTATGCTTGTAGCTCTGCGAGAGTGCAGGAGTTGATGGGGAGGAGACCAAAGCAGTAACAAGCAGTTGAGCTGCAGCGTGCGATTGCAGGAGTGTTGGACATTGCACTGCACTCCCGTTTGACCAATAGCTTCGGCAGGGATTTTTTTCGAGCACACTCTTTCCAACGAGCTAATTATAAGTGCCTCAAATGACACATTTCGAGCTTTGTAACAATAATGCGGGAAGTAAGAAAATTTTTTTTCATTACTTATTTCGTCGCTCATGCTGCAATTTACACATACTGCTATGGAAGCAACAGGTATAAGGGGATGTCCATCAATCATTCTTTACATTTCTATCATCCAAATTTCGAAACTCTATGTGGGATATCTGCAAGCACTACCCGAATTGATCTGTGCAAGAGTGATATATGCATTGCTGGAATGTCATTGTCATGTTGATAACACACTTTCAGCATTGTCACATGTGTCACACTCCTTTATGGGTTATTTTGGGTAGAACTTATGATAATCTTACATCCAGTTAGATCATACAAAAAAAGCTTAAAATAAAATCAATCAATATCTCAAAGCTGTTGGCTTCTTGCTAACTGTGCAGCACGGTTGAGCCCCTAACTGTTGCAGTTTCCAAAAATACAATTGATGTTTAAGTAGCAAAACAATAAATATTATTTCAAGCAATTATTTGATCTAGTTAGACAACTGTCTGACATAATTTTCTTATAATTATCTGCAAAGCCTGATAAACAAAAGGTGAAAGCAATAGCCACGATCATAACAAAGCATCTTGCATTAGAAATGGACAGCCAGAAGATACCTATCCAGACACTTACACTTAGCCGAAGAAATGGTTGACAATAAAGTCTCGGGCCTCGTTGCTCTCAGCACGGTTGGCTGCTACGGGCTCAACGGGAACCTCAGCGGGGATGGCGGCCACGGGTGTCCTGCAGGGGTACCTCTTGGCCAGGTTGTGGAGGGCACAGCACGCGACAATGATGTCGCAGCACCGTTCTGGAGCCATTCGGAGCTCAGCGTGAAGGCAATGGAACCTCCGCTTGAGTTGGCCGATTGTCCTGTACAGAGCGCATGGATCAAAACCACATGTTATTCCTTCCCAGAAACCCAATAGCAAAATCGGACAACAGCGTGGAACGCAAATACTCAAGAGGATGACACGCAACAAGGACAAATTTACAGCTGAATTCGAATCGCAAATTGGCTGCCGTGCCCGATATCACACCTCCTAATTTTTCCAGCCCAAGCTCCAGCCCATTGCTCCAGGATATCGAAAGCTGGGCATTATGCATACCATTTTATTTTCCTTCCGAATTATTTTTACACTGCGTTCACATCCGGGGTCACCTGAGGTTAGCCTGTGCAATGTATTTTATAGAAAGCAACAAGCAAAGTGCAGCTTTATTCAAGCGCTATCCTCAAAGGGTTTCGTGGATATGCTTCCAACCAAACACCTGCATATGCACAGGCCAATATGTTAGAATTTTTTGCTACCTGATTGCTGCCAACGCTGTAAGAATTAACTTGTAACCAAGCTTTATACTGCAACAAATACAGTACCATCAAAATTTCATTCTACATGTTACTTGTGAGACAGAGTGAAAAGAGAAAGAGAGCCAGACTCTTGTCTTGTTGAGCCTTTTCCCTTCCACTCTCCAGGAATAGATGTTCGTGGTAGCGCAACCCATCTACTTTTGTCATTGATCAATAAGAATCCGTCTTGTAAGTCTGGGAGATGTAAAACGTAAAGCACTTGATATAACGCCTTATCCAAGTACTCCTACCCTTTGATTGTGCCGCTAGTGTTCCTATTAGTTAGTGGTCCACGCACCGCCATTTCTGACTCAAGTGGAATCTCCTGGACGCATGCAGCCAAAGTTTTGGTAGAGGGTCTTATGGCGCTTTCACAACGGAATCCCAAGCAAGATTTGCCTGAACATTTGAGATTGCAGCGACTCATCATCAGTCGTGAATGACGTGTAAGATGGTGTCTAGAGACTATTTGTGGAAACTTGTTATTGCATGCTCAACTTCAACATTGTCCAAAATGATGCCTTGGCACTACTCTTAAATCCATCGATGAGAGCAGAATAGGTCATGCTAGGCATGTACTCTTGGCCAATCGGTCAAGACGGTCAGCAACACACAATTGTTTGCGACTTACACCGATGTGCCGCTATTTTTGGATCACACGCATCTTAGCACGCACGAGCTTAGCTGTACTTGTGCACTCAATATGAGTACATACATATCTAGCACGTTTAGTTAGTTTTCATTAAACAGCCCGAAACTGACATTTCAAAAAGTAGACATATGAAAGTGCCAAGGCACAGTGTTACTTCCACTGCTGTGTCTAGGAAAAAAATTCCATTGTCATTAATGCTTCTTTTTGTCCAATTAACAAAATATCAACTTCTGTCCGGGTCTTGCGTAGCACTGGCACCTGAGGTGAGTTTAGTGCTTTTCCCCATTATTGCCAGTCCTGGGGACCTAAGACATAACTGAGTTTCTGCATTTTCAGTCTCAAGCGATAAAACCCAATAAAGTGTGGTGAGGTAAGTTTCGAAAGTTTGATTTTAAACCTAAATGGTCAGTACTTTAGACCATTACAGGTGCATGTGACCGAGTAAACAGAGTATAGAAGCATGTGACCGAGTAGTCAACTATCTTATCTCCGTGCTTTCAAACTATTCTGTTGGAAGCACACTTTAGGAAGTATTTGGGTTTGTCATCGATGCAATTTGCGTTCCTTTGTCCATCAAGTTTGCTGTGGTCGTCTAGAGGGCGGATTTGGAGCGTTTTCATTGTTTGTCAAGCCATTTGGTCTTACTTTTGTTCTGGGAGGAATGGAATGTCATTCTGTTCCTATTGTAGGGAGCATAAGAAAAAAACCAAAGCTGTTTAAACAGCCTCTCTCAAGGTGCTATCTGGTTAGAGGAAAGCAGCTTTAATAGTCCTCCACATGTGAAGAACAAAGAAGCGTGCCAAGAATTACGTTTGCAAATTTTGCGATTAAGAATTTGTCGTCACAGCACATGTATAACCAAGGTTACGTTTGCCATGTCCGCAAGTGTTGCCGCTTGACGAATAACTCAGATATGAACCTAATCTACTGCATTCTCGACAAACCTGCTTGAAAAAAAACGTAACTGGTCAATAGATATCGACCGGAAAAAGGCAGTAAGCTTTCGACTAAAAATATTCATCGATAAAAACTGAAAATTTCATACTCACAATAACAACCGAAAAAAGTATGCCGATTCCAGAAAAATAAAAACTGAAACCGCAGAACCCTAGGCAGCTATTATAAGTTGTATTGATTCGTAATCTCAGGATACTACTTTCATCTTGCTTACATAAAACCACGGTACCTTATGCTTCGTTAGATTAATATAAAAATTTGTATGAATATTTTTATGCCATAAAGAATAGCAACAGACGTAAGGAGCATGCACGTGTTGCACATATTACGTCAAGACAGCTAGTCGTCTCGAAATGTCTTGCATGAATATCTCTGTGCCCTTCACAATATATGGCCTAGATTTACCGTTCAACAATGCTTCTTGTCGTCGTGTGTGCCGTATTGTATGCGACCTCGGCTGCTGATGACGGCGACAGGAATGGCGTCATCAGCCAAGGTTGACAGGAGTAGCCGCTGTCACCAAGCAGCAGGCCGTCGTACTCTCCACTGGCCAGCTTGACTGCCAAGGTGCTCTCCGTGAAGATCCGAGAGTCGTGGGTGCTTCCAGGCCACCTTGCAACCACGTTGCGAATCCGAGAAGAGGCGTCAACGACCACCTGTACGTTGATGGAATGGTATCCATGGCGGTTGACGTACGCCTCCTCGTGCACATGGGGTGCCTGGATCCGGACATGGGTACCGTCAACAGCACCCACGACCAAAGGAAAGCCGGCCATGTCGTAGAACTTGTGCTGCAAGGCTGCCCCCTCCGCAGCGTCAGGCCATCTGCGTCGTTGATCCCCTCAGCAATTAAACCACATATAGTAAACTTACAGCTACAATGCTTATGAATACCTTTTTAATGAGGAATGCTAAGGACTTTGGCTGTGCCCTTCAAGTTTGTGGTAGCAGTAAAGTGCCTCAGTAGCACCTGTTCAATAGTGAAGTTTGCATGTTTTCATAGGATCCCTTTTTATTTTTGTTCAGTTACCAAGACCTATAAAGTGACTGTGATTCGGTGCAAGTCCTTACCAAAAGTGCAAACGGGTCGCTTTCTGAGGTTTCTCAGAAAAATGGCGTGCCCGGGCCCTTTCCAATCGGGCAAGTAGGACGCTTACGGCCGTAATCATTTTTTTTTCTATTGAAAAAGGGGGGGGGGGGGGAGGAGGGAGGGCTAGTTACTAGTAGGTAGAATATTACTGCCATAAAAAGGCAACCTACAAAACATCCCTATCACCAGCAATTCAGATATATTTTTAGTGTATTTACTTTACTTCAATACGGCTGGCAAACTACAATTAAAAGGAAAAAAAAAGGACCCTTACCGTATGAAGTCTTGTGCTCGACGAGCCAGCGCTACGGTGACTTGCCTCACAGCCCGTGAAGCACTTGACACATGCACGCGGATGTAGTCGCCTGCAGTGATCAGAAAGTTCCCAGTTGCGTAGAACTGCAAGGCGATGATCACTTGCTGCTCCGCAGAGAGGGCGCGGCTACGACGTGTACGGCGCTCCAAGTCCGGACGCAGTGTGTCGGCGAGAAACATTATGCCCGCTCTTCCAAATCGGAACCGTTGCTGCAGCCCATCCTCGTCGAAATCCTCAAAGGGGTTCAGGCGGTCCCGCAGCACACGCTGTCGCCTCATCATTGCCGCTGCGTACTGCGCGTCCGTGCGGTCTCTTCTGTGTCGGCGATTCCTTGCGTTGGACATTCTGCCCGGTAGCAAAGTCGGAAATCGGTCCGCAAATCTTATCAGTCAGTCCGTGGCCGGTCGGAGGGTTTGTCGGTGGGTCGGTCGGTCGAAGGGCAGAATACAGACAGGAAAACTCAGATGATAACCGAAAACGAGAAACGCGCGTTGCGTGCAACGAGGCGAAACTGGTTGTATTCGCGACTCCAGCGACCTATAGGGGGCGCCACCACCAAACAAACATGGCGGCTGAGTCCAGGTCGCGTCGGATCGGCCGGGCCGCCTAACAGGTGGCGCGTTCAATTTAACAGATTTTCTTTTGTTTAACGCCCAATTTATAGGTATTTGAACTGAGACGGTTGAGTGTAGCCGGTGCACATTAACTTGCAAAGCATAGTTTTGTTTTCCCGGTGTTTTTTGTTCTTTTCATGCAAACTTTCGTTTCGGAGATTTCGTTCAAAACCGAAACTGTGGCCTCCGGAGAGGCGGTAATAGACTCTAATCAGTTTTGATCATCTAAGGAAAGCGGCGAGCACTATAGAATTGTTCCACCAAGAGCAATTTTCAGCTAACTCGCATGCCTCGACCATTTAACTTATCTGTACGTGAAATCGAGCTTTATGCGTATCCGCGTTTAAGAATCAGCTTCAGTCTTCTGCTCGGTCAACAAGACAGGCTGCAGGAAAATTATGAAAATTAAGCTAGCGCTTCTTGAGCCAAAGACCAAGTTAACCCGCCGGCGTCCCAATAAGCAGCTGATACTCGTGTTTCAATTCAGGTTTTAGTAGCAATCGATAAGTCATTTTGACGAACGGGTTATGTATTATATTACATACTATGTCCCACTAATTCGATATTAGTATATTCTTTCGGGTTGAAATATGAGCTTAGTTGACTAGCTATTAAGGGAACTGCTGAATAAAAGTATATATATTTGACAGACAGAGATATACTACTTAAACTCAGCCAAATGGTTCTAGCCGATAGCACGGAGACGAATGCGGACAAACTGAAGAGAGTCTTCATCGGAGATTCACGCAAAACCTCTCTGCATTGAACTTCGAATCCTGAATGGAGAAAGTAAGTATTTTTTGTGGCCGGTCAACCTGAGCAATGTAGACGTATATTGCTGCTGGCTTCGATGGGGGTATAATATAAATATTGGAGGCGCGATAGATCAAAATGCCGTGACAGCTTCTAACGTTGCGAACCTCGCCTCCACCTTTTGAAAACAGATAATTTCCCTGATTAACCGTATTGCAGCGAGCAGGTTTCCCTGCATCAAGTAATTGCGAAATCAGCCTAGCTCATTCAGTGTGGTCCAGAGGCTTTTTCGGGGAAAAGCTGCCAAAATGAATAGCCAACGCACCGACCGGCGTGGGTGCTCAAATTTAAAGCTAATCGAACACGACCAAACTCAAGAAAGCAGCTATCGAACCTTCCCATTCACTTGAACGCAGCATTGTTTCTTCCAGCGAAACACCTCGTCTGTCGTCCTCAGTCCACTGTTCTACATCCTTATAAAGAAACCACTTATCAGTTACCAAGTAGTCGTCACTTTGAATGTGATTCGAGACACAAGAAGTCAAAACGTTTTTCCGTGATTCCTCCCCATCCAAGAAATGAAAAGCACGCGACCGTATGTTGTGCAGTAAACGGGCTTTCAAACACGTGATGGAAGGAAACAATCTACTGAGGCTTCACCACACTAATGAACACTCAAGCAAACTTAAGAATTTTTCGGACCTTCGCCAAATTACATTGTTCGCCACCGCGCCGACAACACGTGTCCGCGAAAGCCACCAGAGACGCGGAGGGGCGCGGAGCGACCTGGTCCGGCTGGTTCCCGGTTTTCCCGCTTGGTGGCGTCCGTTTTGCTGGAGTCGCGAATAAACAAACGCCGTGCACGCGACACGGCACACACGGCGTTGCCAGACTTGGAAGCGACGGTCGACGCACTTGCTTTTTGCAAAACACGACAACAGAAAACTGCAAAGCACTTTGACTAGGTGTCTTGTCTACGCTTCCACACTTCGAAAGAAAGAATTTCGATGCAAAAAAGAAACTATCCTTTTTCTTTTCAATTGAGCAAACGTTTCTTGCAAGTTACAACTAGATTTAGCCGAAAACGGTTCCCATAAAGCAAACGTTGTATCATAAAAAAATAACGATTTATTTTTTTCAGCACAAGGTGGCGCAGGCTCCAGCCCAATAATAAAGGACGGATTTGTTTTATGTCCAGCCATTAAAGTTTCGTAGTAGGTACAACGTAGGTACAACTAGGTACTTTCGGTACCTACTAGGGACTTGGGCCAACGCTAACCGCGGTTAGCTCTTCGAGCAAACGGGCCCAGGTCGTCGACATTTCCTACTTGTATCCCTGGAGACTAATTTACATGTGTCAACGATCAGTAAAACAAAACATCAAAGTTATTTTAAATCTTGGAAACCTGGTGAGAAACGAAGTAACATATTCATTACGTGACCCTCCTCATTGGCGTGTTCCCCCTTCCAGGACCAATTTTGGATTGCAGAGATTTAACTACAGATTGGCGGTTATGTTAAATAAGCTGGCATCCCGAGATATTGACATACGCTCCATAAACTATCAGACAATTCAAAGAATATTATAATATCGAACTGTTTTTCTTGTGTTTCTTCTTCTGTGGTTATTGTATAAGAGTTGTATATTTAGAATTTCTGTAACCTAGCTGTGCCCCCATCACTGCTGCTTGGTTTTGGGGGGCGCTGGACCTTGTCAAGCTGCGAGTACGCAGCTTTTTTCCAGCCCCCTAGTCCCAAATGTAATTGTTTGTGACTTAATAAACTGATTGATTGATTGATTGATTGAAACCAAAGCAAATCAGAGCAAGGAGATCAACAAATGCATGCCATCAACGCTCGGTGTACATCAAAAGAATAAAACACGAGTCTTATGCACAGATGCCCCATTATATATCTGTGTTGTACCACTGATAACCACGCCGATGATCACGACACTAGGCTCCTCAGAGCCAGGCCGCTACAGGTAAATTTTAATATCGTGGGCACTTCTATAATGACGGCACATAACGCTGCGAAGTCAACATTCCTAGTATAACATATTGCGCCCATACCTCGGCATTCTCACTCATGAGTGCGATCACTCACGATCACTCACGCTCACCGTCAGATTTGAGGTGATCGTGATTGAGGCCGCGAGTCTCGAAAAATTGTGAGCGTGAGTGTGAGTGGGATCTGAGTTATATGAATTCATGAGTGTGAGTATGAGTGTGATCGTAAGTTATGTGAGCTCAAGAGTGTGAATGTGAGTGTGAGTCCTAAGAGCTCATGAGCGTGAGTCTGATTATGAGTGTGATCGTGAGTACTGAGAACTCATGAGTGTGAGTGTGAGTGCGAGTCCTGCGAACACATGAGCGTGAGTTTGATCGTGAGTGTGATCGTGAGTTCTGAAAACCATTGAATGTGAGTTTGAGTCCAGAGAACTCATGAGTTTGAGTGTGAGCTCTGAAAACTGATGAGCGTGAGTTCTGAGGACTCATGAGTGTGAGTGTGAGCTTGAGTTCTAAGTGAAGTACTCATGAGCGTGAGTTTTGCGATCTCTTGAGTGTGATTGTGAGTTTCAAGGCTCATGAGCATGAGCCTGGATCAAGACGTGAGTCTTACCGCTCATTCACACTGGAAGCGGATCCGCGTTCGCAAAGCGGTTGCGAACGCGATTGTAGTATAAAGATCCAGTACAATTGCACGCGCACTTGATGTCATCGAGTGCACGTGCGGTTGTACTGGATCTTTATACAACCACGTTCGCAACCGCTTTGCGAACGCATATCCGCTTCCAGTATGAATGAGCGGTTAGGGCACATATGAGTCCGGCGGTTGCATTAAGGCCGGTTCAGACACTTGCGTTTGAGTGCGTTTGACTGCGTTGCGTGGAGAACCGAAAGCGAGCCACCGGCACATCTGTGCTTCGTGTGAAGCGTGCAATCCAATTCAAAGAATCATATTAGCACGCGATATAAGTAGCAGGGATGTCCTGGTTTCTCGCTGCCGCAACGCAGTCAAACTCAACTGTCTGAACCAGGCTTTAGTCTGCCTGATGACGTGAGAGCTGCCGGGCCATATTAGTGTGCGAGGAGACTCCCGCTTCGCAACTACTGTGTGGGGCTCAGGGTTGGTTTGGGTGTCGCTCGCCTGCTCCTCCGCCATGTAAGCACGCTGGGTCCTGTGGAGGGTGAAGGAAAGGAGGGGGGTGCTTGCTCTTGCAGGCTCCTCCTTGCCAGCGCCCTCTGCAATGTCTCAACGTCTCAACCCGCTGTGGAGGGCAGAGGGAGTATGGGGGAGGGGGGGGGGGGGGTCGCTTTCGTCTCTCCTCGGGCTTTCGCTCTCCGCTTCTTGGCAGACGACGAGACGCCAACGGACTGACGGCGCCTCGAGGCGGCGCGGTAACGTCGGAGTTGGGGATCCAAACGGTTAGCGCTCCTCTCTCTGTGGCATAGAAAGGCTCGTGTGGATTTCGGCTCCTGTCGCCAAGTTGGTGCCGGTGCGCATAGAATTTTATGATTGCGTCAACTATACCGTTCGCACGGCTGCGACAAAAATTAAGTGACTCGCATGATCCTCCTCATCACCCAATCGAACAAACAATTTTACCGTTCGCACGGCTGCGACAAAATTAAGTGACTCGCATGATCCTCACCATCACCCAATCGAACGAACAATTTTATCTTTCCGCACACCTCACCGTACTTTTCGCATATGAGTTAACACTCAAAACGAGCAACGAAGGCGATGTCATGATAGATCAAAGCTTCGAGTGAGATGTCTTACATGGTGCGATATCGTGCTTTTATGTATCGTTCGGGGCAAGATAGCACAAGCGCATGACATCCAGCCAGCAATGGCCAGGCGGAGCCACGAGAGTGCTGCATTAAGCTCCACAAGCGGAGGTGTTAATGGGGCGGCCAGTCTGCCCGTCAGGCCGTGGCGAGCGGCGGCGACCCTAATTTCAGCGGTTCCTGCGTGCACGTGCGCGCCATGTCCCTGTTTATTTTATGTTTGGAGCATATTCTAGAGTTGTCATTTGAACACCAGTTTGAGTTGTCTTCACCACTTGTGGGGTCGCTCGATAATAATCGCCGCCCGATCGGTCTGAGAAGGCAGCGAGAAGGCAGCGAATGGGTTTAC